AGAGAGAGAGAGAAGGGACAGTCATCCCCCCCTATTCCCGAAGTGCCTCTGCTCTCTCTCTTTTTTTTTTTACAATAATAATACTGTTATGGCTCCAGAGAGGACTGACCTGGCGTGCCCGCTTCGCGCGCCGTGTCGGCAACACCAGTCGGTGAGGCAGCCCTGTGGGCCTATCGGCAGTCACAGGTCAGCAGTGATAAATAAATGATCGGCTTTTATCTCGCTTGTATTTACTTAGAGGGCTGTGCTGCTTCTACTTCTACGAGCAAGTTCAGGTTGGTTGCGCAAGACAGAAAAATCTGAAGTGTATTAATAATGTTCTTACGCCTTAGGAATGTGAACGGTGTGGTTAGTGCTGCTGATCGAAGGGTTTTCTTTTTCCTCTACTACTTTCGCGTCAGAATGTTGTTTAATTTGTTTTTAGTTGTTGTTTTTTTTTTTACGTTTCTTTAGTTCTTTTGTCGTCGATTTGTCTTTTTGGTTCCCCAACTGTATTGGTAGATAGATATATGTAATCTATAAGCCTCGCTAAAGGAGTTTGTCCTCAAATTAAACGTTGCTAATAAAGAATGGCCCCTATATAAATGTTGATCATGCAACAAGTCTATATTGTAAACGTTGTTTATTAACGTCTCCATTATAAGGCTTGCTAAAGAAGCTTTGCTGATATGTCTATTGCTATTATAATATAATCTGGTGGAGCCGACCTTTGGGTCACTTTTTAGAAGCCACGCCCGCCTAAAAAAATTAACAAATAAATAAAAATGATAGCATTTTTATAGTCCATATCCCCGCCCTACAGCAAGCTCTGTGCGCTTTACACTATATTATTACCCCAGCAGACCATCTAATACTCCGAAACATTCTCTGATTCCCGGGAAGCATATAATGCAAACAGCTGATTAAGCGCTCAAACACTAACAAACTGACAAGATCTTTCACTGTCTATAGCAGGGTACCCTTGCCTTACTTGGGTGAAGTGAGGAATATTTGTGTAAAGTACCTTTCCCAAGGACACAACGTCGGGCCCCAAACGAGTATGAGAGCCTAACCACTAGTCCACTGATGCCATGAAAGTAGTGCATTTATTCAGTATTCCTCTAAGAGCAGGAAGGAGCCGGATTTTTATGATTTTTAGCTTAAGAATTTATAAAATTTTAGGTTTTGATCGCTATGTATCGTTCAGAAAAACTGCGGAATTTAAGCCATTACTTTCCAATTCCACTTTTGTAAAAAAAAAATAAATTGTGAGCGTCTGCTCTTCAGTTTTTGTTCAAAACCGCACGAATAACCGCAAGTCAAGAGTCTAGACTAGTGTGTATTGGTGATACACAGTTTTGGGAGGTGGTCACTGGGGTGTGTGTCCTTGAGCAACACGCTATGACTCTGGTTTTAAACAAACTAGGCAGATGCACAGTGGCCACTAGCAATGGTGTGGGGATTATACGTTTTTGAAGTTGCGTATCTTTCATGCATTTTTGTGTTAGTGTATTTGTGCACACCATTGTAAAACTCTTCTCAATGCAAAAAATTTCTCAATGGAATCAGTGAATTGAAACTCATTAATGTCAATTTTGATTTTAATTTTGAAGATATAGATCTATTCCAAAAGAAGTGACATCAAGATTGTGGTCAGTTAGTTGCGAAATGACGGCGGTAAAAAGCAGAACATGGTGACCTAAAACCTAAGCCATATTATTATGTGTCGTGCGAAAGGCACGCAGATAACTGCAGTCTTAATGTTTGCTCAGGTAGCATATTTTGTGTACATTATAGACTTTGCTCAAACGAAAGGGCCTCCAATATAAGCTTCGTGAAATGGATTTTGTTAATGTAGTATATACCCAATGTACGCTTTGTTATTATAGTGTCCTTGTGGAAGTAGTCTTTCGTTCAGCAAGACTCGTTTTCACCCGTTGATCGAGTTCGATTGGCAAATCTCAGCGCGCTAGTGTGCCTGTTTATTCAGCTAAACAAATAGCTTGAGAGCTACAATTATAGACTGTATGAAGACTCAATTACTTCATGGTTCATTGCCTTCTCTCTTGGAGTTCCGCTGTCCAAATGGATCTGGACGTATTTGACAAAATTGAGTTCATTTTAGTTTTATTGGTTTGTTACTCTAGTCTAGTCCATATTCTTCTTGCGGCAAAAGCAGGACTATGTATTTACATCCGGAATAGGAGATCTAGTTTTCAATGAGGAAAAGCTACATTAGGGACTCATCTCTATCACATTGTCGATGAAAAAGTAACTTATCTATATTTCGGCACAAACATGCTTGGAAGTATCTACACTTTCGACAGGCTAATCGTATTAAGTTTTGTTTTCATTTTCTAAAAAAGAATGGAATTTGCAGTTAATGCTCTGCCTTCGGGCGGCAGACTTTTGGGTATGCAGGAGGGAAACATTCTTTCCTGAGCTATAGTAGGCAATAGAATAATGTGTTTTAGACGTTAACTATGTACAGCAGTAACGTACATAGACGAGAGTACAAAATAAAGTGTAAAAACTGTAATAAAATTATTGCGTTAGTGGCTTGTCTGAGTGGACTACTAGAAGGTACTACTTCTTCACTACCCCTTCTTTATTTCTATCTGCCGTCCTTTTTTGCTAGCACCGAGTAATTGTTATTGAGTTGATGTGCTTCTGTTTACTCAGACAAACTCGAACCAACGAAAGTGTTTGCTATGACAAAAAGATCCATGAAAAACGGCCATTGATATTTGCGGACTCCACAATGGTTGTCTTTTTCCCGTGACGATATTGGTTTTGTTTTGCTTTTTGTTTTGTTATTAGTGCCGAGAATAGAGGTTATATTTAGTAGTACTATAACCTCTTTTGTGCCAAATTATTTTTATCTTGCCAGTTCACAGCACTGGAAGCATCGTTGCGTCGGGAGCATCATTGCATCAACACGTTTCGCTTGGTCCCATTCAAACAATCTCTGCCCAATCCTCCCCATCCAACTCCCCCACCCTCCCCCCTTTCTGTCCTTCTTCATCATCACTACCGTACCAGCTGCAGCTGCTTTACGTTTTCACAATTTTGTTCGGACGTCGAGCAAGTTACGTCTTGGTTTACAAACGGGGAAATAGCTTCACGGCGGCAAACGTACCGTAAGACACGGATGAAGTTGGTCCAGGAGTACGAGAAGATTAACCATGATTGTTTGTTTGCTTGTCCGTCGGCGAGTCTGCGTGTCTTCCCGGGGGGAACATGTCGACAGCTGTGAGGGTTTCTCTGTTTACTGTTTACGCTTAGGATCAGAGGGATGGAGAGAGGAGGAGAGAGGAGGAGGAGAGAGGGATAGAGAGAGCTAGAGAGAGAGAAAGAGGTAGAGAGAGAGAGGGGGGGAAAGAGAGAAAGAAAAAGTGAGAGAGACTAGTAGAGGAGAGATATACAGAAAGGTAAACAAAGAGAGAGAACATTATCTTATCATCTGACGCTCTCGTATTACTCGTAACGAAGAATATGTCTCTCTCTCTCTCTCTCTCTCTCTCTCTCTCTCTCTCTCTCTCTCTCTCTCTCTCTCTCTCTCTCTCTCATTCTCACTTTCTTCTTTCTCACCCTCGCCTTCCCCCACTCTCTGTCTCCGCATCCCTCTCCTTTTCTCTATCTCTGCTGCCCATTTTTTATAATAAGAAACAAGCCATCTCCTTACTTTTTGCGTTCCGGCATTGGAAAAGGAAATTGGTACACGTTGTTTAGTTTATTTGTTCGCCTGTTAGCTTTATCATAGGCCAAATATTCGTATTTTGAGAGTGTGTGACCTCATGACCTTAAAGAATATAGTGATCCGATAGACTACTGACGTCATTCAGAGACAGGTCAACAGAAACTTGTTTTTCACACCCTCATAGTTTACGCACATAGGCTACAGAAACAAACGCGCGCACTCGCACTCACACACACATACACACACACACACACACATACACACACGCACACATACACACACACGCACAC